GGCTTGCAGACATGTATGAAGACTCACCCTAACCACTATAAAATGGAAATTCTCACCTTCAATGGAAGGATGACTCACAATTGCTCTGGTTGGAAGCCACAATCTTGTAGTATGAGTTCTAAGGGTTGGGTTATTGGACAGTTAAAGCAGTACGTGAACTGAGTTCACAATTGTCCAATAGTCTATAAATAATATAACTATATTTTGTTCTTGCGTGGGCTTCCCCTCAGCTAGCTAACATAGCTACAGCTGGAAAGAATGGACATACCCCTATGCCAGCAACCTAGAAGTTCACTTTAATTTCAATGGGTGTACCAAACCTTTTACATATTGTCTGCTGCTCAATCACAGCACACACATAACTACGAGGATTTGTTAGTTATAAACTATACAATCAATCAATAAGTGATTCTATGCATTCGAAGTTTATGTTGTTATCACGCATTATATAACAAGTGTTTTGAAATCATTTTTAATTATATGGCTCATTAGTGACCCGGGTTATACCACTCAAATCTCAAATTTGGGACCAATTCTTCAGCTGAAATCTTGATTCAATACCGCTGTGCGGGAATTTGTTTCCCAAGTCCAACACATAGGCTTGTAAATCTCTGCCAAAGCACGGATATCATAAAAACGAGTGGAGTTTGAATTGGTTCACCCAAATTAGGCCATAGCCCCTATAAGAGGCATGTGCTGGCCTATTTTACAACTTTATGGAATTTGGTTAGGTGTAATTCAGGGTAAAATAGGCTGCAAGTTGTCTTTTATGCTTGACTTTTATGAACTTTTTGTTCCTTGTAGGAGTCATCATCATTTGAACCCATGAAGAGTAAGGAATAATTGTCATTCATTGACATGGAAGTTGTCATTTCTTCCTTTGAGAAGAATTGTTAGTGTATCAACCTTTTTAATATCCCATGAATTCAATTTATATGGCCCTCCAACCTCCAACAAACTTCCAATAAACAACAGCTAAAGATCAATCATAAGAGCACAAAATCTTGTGACCAAATCCTATAGCTCTGGATATATATAAATTTCAGGACATCACCAAGAGGGGAGAGAGAGAGAGAAGACAAAAATGAAGCTCATCAGTATGGATGCATTCATACATTTGCCATTGTCAATGATTGGAATAATAACAATTCAATATTATATGGACTCTACTGCACNAGAGAGATGACAAAAATGAAGCTCATCAGTATGGATGCATTCATACATTTGCCATTGTCAATGATTGGAATAATAACAATTCAATATTATATGGACTCTACTGCACCAGCAGTCATAGCTAGGTATAGTCCTTCTCATAGGCAGGAAAAAAAAAAGGTATGGTCCTTCTCAAAACATCCTTTTATCTATAAAAATTGATGTCATAAGTCAAACTTAAGTGGCAAATTATAGTATAAACTTTTTTATCAAAAATAACTAATTGAACTTTGTTAAGGAGATATCAGAACCACAGTTAATTAATTAGATCTGTCATTGTTTAACTGCTATTTGTTCAACCCCNCTACTTTGATTGGTTTTTTGTAGATTAGTGTTTGTTAAGCTTGAGGTAGCGTAAATTAAGGTCTATGAAGTTATTGACATGATGGGTTTGACTGTTAATTGGGCTTAGCACAACGAAAAAAGAAGAAANGTTTGTTAAGCTTGAGGTAGCGTAAATTAAGGTCTATGAAGTTATTGACATGATGGGTTTGACTGTTAATTGGGCTTAGCACAACGAAAAAAGAAGAAAAAAGAAAGACGATTTTTGTTCAATTATTACTGACTAAAAGAGTACCCAGTGTACGAGACTTTCGTCATTGTGGGATCTATGAAAAATTAGATGTACGCAGGCTTATCCTTACAAATAGAGATATTGTTTTTGTCAATTACTACTAGTTTTTATTTCAAAAAATTCGACGTCTGATCATAAAGTAGTTGTCACCGTTTAATTAAGGCACGGAGGAATGCCTTGAGTGCAGTGTTATTCGGCTAGAGTGCTTGTTCTTATATTCAAATACACCCAATCTCTTAGTTGTTAGTTCGATAAGTTTATCATAGTGTAAGGTAATGACCAATACAATTTTATTTTAATCTTATTTCCACCTTTTGTCTATAAATTTGGTAAAAGAAATTTCCATATTATGTTTGATTTTAATTTCAACAAACTACAAACTCTCTGCATTACTACTTAGAGACCAGCCCACGAAGTAATATTCTTGGGCTGATAAGAACCGGCCCAAAACTAGGGTGAGCCAATCAGATTTAGTCACTGTAATTATTAATGGATACACTTAGAGAGGACCAGTTTAAAACGTAATCAAGTCTAACCCAATAGTATTCAGTTATTGAAAAGAGTTTTTAAATTTGGACAAGAAACAAATTCACCTTAGTTCAAATCCACTGAGTACATGAATTGGGCTCTTAGGTTTTCCAGACCCATCTCGAATGGCACTAATTCAAAAACTGAACATGAGTGTAACCCAATTCATGAATGCCAAGATCCTTACATATCAGCTCAGACATCAGGAACTCGAAAGCTAAGGCAAAAAAAAAACATGAGCCGATGAAGGGGCATTGTTTTCCGACACACCGCAATTTGGCACCTCCTGACATGGTTTGACACCACCACCTGACACTTTCTAATGAATCACTAACACACTTTTTGTGGAGAGAAGTATATTAGTATTATCAGCATCACTTAAATAATACTCAACTTACGTACAACTGTTTAAACCATCTTCTCACTCAAGTTAATCTATAAATACCCCTCAAATGAAGGAAAAGAAGGTAAGAAAATATCAAAAAAAGAGTGAACATTGGTTGTTAAGTCACTAATCTTCTTGCACACACACCTTTTCACTTTTCATTAACCTATTTTATCATTCAGTAACTTGAACGTTGGAAGTGGTTCGATGGATACCACACCGGTACCCTATTTTATTAGCCCTTCTCTTGTCAGGATCACAAAGAACAGAAGAACTGTGCAAATGTGCAACCAAAGCTGCTTCACCCGCACAAGCACCGCATCCCAATAGAATGCGAAACACCTTGCCCCTGCAAACCGCATAAGATCCACGCACAGCCTCTGTGCAGAGACTACCAACCCTCTTGAGCCCGCTCCAAAATTGATCCTTCACTTCCCATGAAGGCTCTCTATTGTGTCGTAATTGTTATACAACAAAGGTTAATGCAAAATTATGCTCCTATGTTTTTGTAGTAACTTGTAAGTAACGTTCATGTAGTTTGAAAGAAACGATTTGCTCACGTTAAGTTGATAGCTGATACTCAATTAAACCACTTACTCACGGTAAGTTGTCTACTCTTTGTCTGCTTCTGTCCCGATGATTAACAAATTAAACCTCCCTAAATTGTTTAATTATGAATGTTTGTGGCTCTATTAAGGTGCTTGGTTTGTATATAGTCATGGTGGTGACTAGGGACGGAACCTATAATTTACCACGAGAGGGCCAAATAAAAATAATGAGGTCATTGGACAAGTTACTATTAGTATTTATTTATTTATTTTTTAATTATGAAGACTCTATCCCTAATTGATACTACCAAAAAAATTTAGTTCGTAAAATTCAAAAACTAGTTCTTACTTATTAGTAGAAAATTTAATTTTTGACAATTTTACGGACCACTTATTTCTTTATTTATGATATGAGCTAATAATTTTAAATTATATATCAAATAAATATCAGTTTCACATGATACCATTATGTAACTTGATTCTATAATATCTTTTTTTTTTTCTGTGGGGTCAATAAATTTGTCTAAACATGTCTTTTCTTCTATAAGAACTCTTTCATCCATGTGAGCAATATCCTATATTTAGTTATTAAATGTTTAATGTCATGTCATTAAGTTTTTTATGACCTTTTATATATAAAGGAGTTTTTAAAAATCTCCAATTTGAGTAAAAAAGTTGATTTGATATAGAGTACTTCAATGAGCAAACTTAAATATATACTCAAATCTTTTAAAAAATTCTCTTATTATCCCAAAACTCATATTTTTTGTGTCATTTAAATCATAATATCTGATAAAATAAATAAAATTTTCATATTTCTTCACAAATGGTAATTCAAAAATAAAATAAAATTTGTATACAACACTATATGGGAATAAAGAAATCACCCCCAAAATTATATCGTTCTAATCCCTTATTATTTTTTATACATTCAGCTAAAGATAAAAAAAAAAGAAAAAAAAATATAACTATTTTAACATGAGCTTGATCTGAAGAATACAAAAACATGCGTTTTTAACAAAAATGGAAGATTTAAGAAATAAAATGACGAATTTTCTAAATTTATGTGTAGTGAAGGTTAAAACTTTTAGAAAGAATCGATGACCTGAAATTGTACTACTGACAGTGTTTAACTTAAAAAAAATCAAAGAAAAATTTGATGGGTATGTTTAAAATTTATGTAGTATAAAATATGGGTGAGATTAGGATTTTAAAAAATATAAAAAATAAAGAAGAAGAAAGATGAAAAAGAAAAAACTTACCTATAGACTTTTAAATGATTTGTGAAAGTTGCGATAGTGATCGATGAAGTAGTGTACTAGAGAGAAGAAAGAAGAGACATAGAACAAATCGTCGAAGAAGTTTTTAGTTTTACATAGATTAAAAAATTACCGTTATAAATTTAATATAAAATTTAAATCTACTTTATTTTGGATTCAGAATAAGTTTTACTCTTTGAGAGCAATGGTATAAGCTTGAGTTTAAAGTTGGAGAAATTGTTTAACTCATTTTAACTCAAATTTAAATATAAAAAGAGATGTTCTAATATAAAATTCTTAAAAATCTAAAGGAGAAAGGGTAATTATGAAAAACTGTTGGGAGGGGTTCTCGATCGTGGTGGTAGTGTTTAGGTATGTTGTGGTCGAGATTGTGCAGCGTGGTCTTTCTGGTGTAACGGCGTTTGGGGTGTGGGGTTGGATTTGAGTTTTGTGGGAGAGGGCTGAATTGGTTAACAAGGGGTCTGAGTGTACAAATGGGTATGAGGAATTACAAACTTTCGCACGGTACGATGATGTTGGAAGGCTTGATCGGGTATTTCCGAGCGTACCGTTCGAACTCGAACTCGAAGATGGTGGATTTGAAGAAGCTGAGACCGATGATTCAGAAGAGAATTGAGAATAGAGCCAAAGATTACCCAGTGATAGCCATAGTACCAGTTGCCCAAGATGTCCTAAAGGCCAGAACCCTCCTCTACCAAGGCGTCTCCACCCTTCTCCAACTCTTCCCTCTCTGGGCCTGCAAGTAACTCTCTCTCNGCCATAGTACCAGTTGCCCAAGATGTCCTAAAGGCCAGAACCCTCCTCTACCAAGGCGTCTCCACCCTTCTCCAACTCTTCCCTCTCTGGGCCTGCAAGTAATTCTCTCTCTCTCTCTGGGTGTGTGTATATATAATTTGGATTGGGTATTTGTTGACTTTGGTGTGTTTCTATGAATTAATTCTGGTCTTTGATTGCTTTTATCGAATCTTCAAATTGACGCATAGTCTAGCGTGTTTAAGATTTGAAGTGGTTAACTTTGTGGTTTTCCAGTCAAAATCTGAAGTCACTAGGTGTTTGCTAGAGTGTGGACAATGTCATGCTCAAGTAGTGAGTTTGAACACTTACAAATTTGGGACAGCTCTAAGTTGAATATCTATCTCATATTTTCTGCTTCTTATGGTGCCTCATCATATATTGCTTGGTCTCCTAAGATGAAAGTTTGATGTATGGATCTTCCACTGGAGAACTATAAAGGATTGGGAGCGTCTTGAATTTAATGAAATGTACTCAACTGCCTACAATTTTTAAGAAGTCTTCATAGGAATGCCAAAAATGAGAAGGCATTGGTCTATGTGGACAAACATCAGAATCTATAGCTCCAGCAAAGCAGCCAAGTCAGCAATGCAGCCCAAGAGGAATTCAAGTCCATCAGAAGGCCTTACGTATAGAAGTACAGAGCACAAATCCAAGGCACATGGCTGAACTTGGAATCACATGATTGAGCTAGAAGTTTGTTAGGAATTTTTTCTTTGTGCATATAACAGTTAGTTTTGGTTTGCAATTACTTGGTCACCACTCTTGTAATTAGTATATAACTTTTAGTTGGATTCCATTTTGAAGCAATATAACATACAACTTTCTTCCTTTTCTTCTTTGTTTTCTTCTTCCTCTTGCTTTGCTCTTTCACATTGATTAAACTCAGAAAATCAACATGGTATCAGAGCAGAAATGGCTTCCACAATACCAAAAATTCCTAATGTTTTTTCTCTTTCTCCTTCTCCTTCCAGCACGAATGTTACTGTGATTAACACCAACACAAAGGACCCTGCTAATCCTTATTTTCTCAATCCAAATGATTGACCAGGAACTCTTCTTACTAATCATCCTCTCAATTGTGATAATTATCACTCTTGGGCTCGAATNTTTTCTCTTTCTCCTTCTCCTTCCAGCACGAATGTTACTGTGATTAACACCAACACATAGGACCCTGCTAATCCTTATTTTCTCAATCCAAATGATTGACCAGGAACTCTTCTTACTAGTCATCCTCTCAATTGTGATAATTATCACTCTTGGGCTCGAACGGTTCGAAGATCTCTTCGAATCAAGAAGAAATTGGGTTTTATTGATGGAAGTCTCTGCGAAGCAGCTGATCCCAAGGATCCTATATTGGATTCATGGCTTGAATGCAATGATATGGTAATCACGTGGCTCTAGAATGTAATGAATAGTGTTGTCTATGTTGAAACTACACATGAACTTTGTGTAGAACTGGAGCAAAAGCGATCAATACATGCTCTCTCTCAAGGGGAAGATCCTGTAAGTTTATACTTCTCAAAATTGAAAGGTTTGCTTGATGAACTTTTGAATTTTGAATCCTTACCATCTTGCAGATGTGGTGCTATGAAAGTTGTCCTTGAAAACTAGCAACAAGACTGGACTATGAAATTTCTTATGGGTCTAAATGATTTTTTTTCAAATATTAAGGCACAAATCATTTTGATTAAATCAATACCCAGTCTAAGTGAGGTTTAATGCTTTAGTTCAACAAGAAAAAAAACAAAAACAAGTCTCCACAGGGCTTTGTTTAAATGATTCTCTTGCACTAGCAACGAATACCAGTTTCATCAATAACAAAGAGGGTAGTAGACATTTTGGATCCCCGAGGAGGGAAAGATTACTGCACATACTGCAAAGTTCCTGGCCAAACACTGGATAAGTGTTTCAATGCTAATCCAGATATAGAGAAGCCATTCTGTACTCATTGCAACATCACCGGACATATCTTTGATAGATGCTACAAATTTCATGGCTATCCACCAGGCCACAAGCTGCACAACAAAATCAAAGGATTTGGTTCATCAGCAAGTCAAGTCAGTCAAGCTAATTCAACAATGCAGGAACAGAGCACTAAAGTCTCTCCTGCTACAATCACTAAGGAACAATACCAACACCCCATGGCTTTACTCCAAATCAAGATTTCATATTCCTCTACTAATCAAGTTCAATCCACTCCAAACATTGAATACACTGGTTCTAAGCCTACTGTCATGGACTCATGTCTAGTATCTTATTTTGTTTTTCATCTTCTGAAATCAAATGTTTAGATGACTTCAAGGTTCTTGGATCATAGATACAGGAACAACAGATCATATGATTTGCTCTATCTCATTATATACTTCTGATTCTACCCACGTTTCTTACAAAGTAAAACTTCCCAATGGTAATTTATCAAAGGTAACACATATAGGAACTGTCAAAATCAGTGAGGCCATCACTCTTAAGAATGTTCTGCGCATTCCATCCTTCAGTTTTAATCTTCTTTCAGCCAGAAAGCTATCACAGGATTCTAATTGTTGTTTTCTTTTTCTCACCATTGAATGTTTTATCCAGGTCCTTTCCACTTGGAGCACGATTGGGAAGGGTGCGGCTCACAATGGCTTGTACCAGCTCAAGACGACAACAGTTTTTCCTACAACTCTTGCTATAGCTTGGCCAATTTTTTCTTGTAAACAGTCCTTCATTTTAGCCTCTATTTCCCATTGGTTTGAATATGATTTATGGCAGTGTAGACTAGGACATATTTCAGATGCAAGACTTTCTTTATTACAAAATGATCTATCAAATGTCAAGCTTATGAATGAGAATGTTCCTTGCTTAGTTTGTCTCTTAGCCAAACTTTATAAACTTTCATTCCCTGACAATGAACATAAGGCTCAAAGTGCATTTGATCTAATTCACTGTGCCATATGGGGACCTTGCACTCATATGGCCTATGATGGATCTAGGTATTTTTTCACAATTTTTGACAATTTCACAAGTTGCACATGGCTCTATCTAATGAAAACCAAGTCTCAAACCAGGCCATTTCTTAAGTCATTTTGTTCACTCATTGAAATTCGATTCCAATCCAAGATCAAGTCATTCACCAGACATCCTGTGTAGAAACCCCTCATCAGAATGGAGTTGTTGAGAGAAAACATCAACACATCCTAAATGTGGCCAGAGCCCTCATGTTTCATTCATCTATTCCTATTGATTTTTGGAATGATTGTGTATTAATTGCCACCTATTTGATCAATAGAACCCTAACTTCTAAATTGTAGAACCAAACCCTATACCAGTTGGTTTTCAAGGCAAAACCAGACTATAGGCATCTTAGGATTTTTGGGTGCCTACGTTATGCTTCCACATTGAAATAAAACAGACTCAAACTAGACCTTAGAGTCAGAAAATATGTCTTATTGGGATATCCTTTTGGAGTTGAGGGATACAAACTGTTAGATTGAGAAAACCATTTTCCATTCTAGGGATGTTGTTTTCCATGCGAACATTTTCCATACAGAACAAACAATTCATCTTCTGTTCCACTTTCAGTCCATTATCACTTCCAGTTTCTCATGGTTATTCACAACTCACATCTTTTCAACCATTTTCTAATCTTAACCCTATAGAAAGTGTACCTGTTTTAGATCCAACTCCATCAAGTCCTCTTGGCATTCTTAGGAATCATTCACCTCCAATTACCAACACACAGTCCACATCAGAGAATACCTCTACACCCTCATTTCACACTGGCAGCCCCAATTACTCCTCTGCAGACACTTCTGTTGAGAACCAAATTGTTTTTCTTCCCCACAGATCCAGCAAAGTCAAGAAACAACCATCATACCTTGAAGACTACTACTATCAGCAAGCTCTTGTGCCTCATCCTTCTCAAGAGAATTCCACAAGCTCCAAGAAATCAGGTCATCCTTATCGCCTAGCCTCTTTCTTATCCTATGACAAATTGTCACATGACTATGCAGCATTTGCTACATCAATTCCGGATAACAGTGAACCACAGACATACCATCAAGCTGTAAAAATCCTTGAGAAATCACAGATCTACCAGCTAATATGGATCCTATTGGCTCAAAATGAGTGTATAAGATTCAATATAATTCAGATGGAACTGTAGAAAGGTATAAGGCTCATTTAGTTGCAAAGGGGTATACTCAGTAGGAAGGTCTTGATTATCAGGAGATTTTTTCTCTTGTTGTGAAGAACAGTCAGGATTCTATTAGCCTTGGCTGCAGTTCAAGGATAGGTTTTACATCAATTTGATGTAAACAATGCTTTCTTACATGGGGAATTAGAAGTAGTTTACATGCAACTATGGATATTTTTCCAAAAAACAGAACAAGGTTTGCAAGATAAAGAAAAGTCTGTATGACCTTAAACAGGCATCCAGACAGTGGTTTGCCAAGTTTTCATCCTACTTGATTGATTCTGGATTTGTTCAATCCTAGGCAGATCACAGTTTTATTTTTTTTGATACTTTGATCACAGTTTATTCATCAAAGAAACAGAAACCTCATTCATGACCCTATTAGTCTATGTTGATGATATTATTGTTGCGNTTTTCATCCTACTTGATTGATTCTGGATTTGTTCAATCCTAGGCAGATCACAGTTTTTTTTTTTTTTTTGATACTTAGATCACAGTTTATTCATCAAAGAAACAGAAACCTCATTCATGACCCTATTAGTCTATGTTGATGATATTATTGTTGCCTCAAATGATGTCCATGTTGTTTCTCAGTTGAAAGAATGTTTGAATACTCAGTTTAAGATTAAAGATTTAGGATCTCTTAAATATTTTCTTGGTTTGGAAGTGGCCAGATATTCCCATGGAATTCAGATTTGTTAAAGGAAGTATGCTCTTGATATTCTTACAGATTCAGGATTGATTGAAAGTAAACCAGCCAAAATACCCATGGATCAAAACTTAAAACTTTCAAAGGATGATGTTGAACTACTTAAGGATCCTGCTATGTATAGAAGAATTGTTGGAAGATTGCTTTACTTAACCAGTATAAGACCAGATATTTCTTTCTCAGTTAACTCATTGAGTCAATGCATGGCAACACCTCGAGTTACACATCTCAATGCAGTTTACAGAATACTTAAATACATTAAAAGGTCTCCAGCTCAAGGGCTCTTTTTTCCTTCCACTTCGTCTCTGCAACTCACAGCTTACTGTGACTCTGACTGGTCTGCATGTTTTGATACTAGAAAGTCCATAAATGGCTACTGTGTTTTCCTTGGAATGTCTATTGTTTCATGGAAATCTAAGAAATAAACTACAGTCTCCAGAAGCTCAGCTGAAGCAGAATATCGATCGATGGCTGCAGCTTGCTATGAGCTGACTTGGATTATATATCTTCTTGAAGATCTTTCCACTCCTCATGATCAAGCTGCTGTTCTTTATTGTGGCAATCAGTTAGCTCTCCATATTGCAGCTAATCTAGTTTTTCATGAATGTACAAAGTATATTGAGTTAGATTGTCATCTAATTCGAGACAAAATTGAAGAAGGGGTGATCTCCACTGCTTACGTACCTTCACATTCTCTGCTAGCTTATATCTTAACTAAAGCTTTATCATCCACTCTCTTTCATTCTCTTCTTCTAAAGTTGGGAGTTTGCAATATATTCTCTCGGGGGAGTATTAGAATCTATAGCTCCAGCATAGCAGCCAAGTCACCAAGCCAAGTCAGCAATGCAGTCCAAGAGGAATTCAAGTCCATCAGAAGCCTTATGTATAGAATTACAGAACACAAATCCAAGGCACATGGCTGAACTTGGAATCACATGGTTGAGCTGGAAGTTTGTTAGGACTTTTTTCTTTGTGTATATAACACTTGTAGTTGGATATCATTTTGAAGCAATGAATAACATACAACTTTCTTCCTTTTCTTCTCTGTTTTCTTCTTCCTCTCGCTATGCTCTTTCACCTTGATTAAACTCAGAAAATCAACAAGTGCCATAAAATATAAATATTTGTTCAATACTTTTGAACATGATGGAGTGACTAAATTTATTCCATTTCCCATGGAGTTTTTTGGTCAAGCTGGTGTTGAATGTGAAAGGAGCAGAATAGATAATATTTCCCCACGTTATAGTATTGCAGTTTAATTTTTTAGGCCTTATTTTGTGAGATTGATATTCCTTGACCTTAAATTCTTGATGTAGTTGATTGCTGAGTGGAGGGAATGGCCTGTGGTAAAGATTAGATGCTTGGCATGGAAAGCAGTTCCTCTCTTCTGGTGCATTTAGAAGCAAATGAAAAGAAACCAGATAATCGGGGCCATCAATTGAAATATTGAAGCTATAATTCTATCATCTTTTTGAATTTTTACTTGGGTTGGGTTGGGTGCTTGGAAATTGTTGGTATGATTTAGGTTAGAACTTGTTTTCTTTCTTGATGTTTTGTGCAGTGCATACTTGGGTTGTGCCCCCATCCTGCTGGTAAATTGTTGGAATCTCTAGTTATAAAAACATCTGATCTTACTTGAGTTTCTGTTGTAACAGTTAGATTCCAAGTAAATTTCACACAGTTCTCTCATTGTTCGGTGAGGAGAAGAGTAGGAAGCCATCAATATGGGAAGAGACCTAACTTAGCCTTGTTCCTTTGCAGGTACTGTCCAGAAGTGCATATCAGTGACAAAGGTCATTTAATTCGGACTTGTGGTGGTTACAAGCACCGTGCCAAGAACCAGGTTCATGAATGGATTGAGGGTGGCTTGAATGATATACTTGTCCCTGTGGAGACTTTTCACCTACAAAAGATGTTCCAAAATGTAATTAAACACAATCAAAGATTTGACTTTGACCGTATTCCTGCAGTCGTCGAGCTATGCTTGCAGGCAGGAATTGATCCAAGTGATGAAAGTCTACACTCTAGCAGTTTAAATCCGTACAGTGCTGGGGGTGTTATTGGTGGAGCTGAATCTTTATCTCCTGATGATCTGAGGTTGATTGCCAGAGGAACGTTGACTGCATGGGAGACGCTTAGATCCGGGGTGCAGAAGTTGCTGTTGGTTTATCCTGCAAAGGTTTGTAAATTCTGTTCAGAAGTTCATGTGGGGCCATCTGGGCATAAAGCCAGGCTTTGTGGGGTGTTTAAATATGAGAGCTGGCGTGGAGCTCACTTCTGGAAGAAAGCAGAGGTGGATGATTTAGTTCCTTCGAAAGTCGTGTGGTTCCGGCGGCCTCAGGACTCCTCCGTTCTTGTGGATGAAGGGCGAAATTTTTATGGACATGCCCCAGCTGTGGTGGATCTGTGCACAAAGGCTGGTGCACTTGCACCAGCTAAGTACCGTTGTGTCATGAAGATCGAGGGCTTATCAGCACCTACTGGAGCCAAATGCTGAGGGTGTCTTCCAGCTGCATCAATGTTGGGGTGGCTTACAGAACTATTCAAGGTGCTTGATCAGGTTAGTTGCATGTCTTGTAGTTCTTCCAGCCTCTCCTGTAAGTCAATGCCTTATCAGTTCAGAGGTTCATCTGTCCAAAATTTTTTGTGGCACGGCTGTGGTCACATGGTGTGCATCAACTTGGAAAGGTTGCTCTAAAACATCGTGGGCTTGAGTCACATAGTCTCTCTGCAATCGGGGTTGGATTATGGATATTTGACCCTCCCAGGCATCCACAGTGGGAATCTCGTGCATCAGTATGATCTTACCATTTAAAAGGAATATACCTAGAATAGAAATTATGTTAGGATACATAGGTGTTTATTGCAGACTTTGTCATTGGTGTGGATGATCAAGGGTCAGATTTTAATTTGTATATCTTCATTCTTGAGGTCTAGCTTTCATGAGTTCCTGTCATGTTTCTAGCCAAAATTGAGTTGGAATTATGCATTCCTCATCATCGTCATCATCTTCCACTGTTAGACATGAAAGAATTAAATTTCTAAAAGAGGTAACTTCAAAGAAGACAGTTTATTTTGCTATTGAGCTCAACTTTGCTGTGTTTTTTGTTTGTAAGCTTCAGTGGTTGAGGAGGGGATCAGAATACATTGAAGACTATAATGTAAAAGGTGTTATGGGCTTGGTACATGGGCTTTCTCCTCTTGTATATGCACTTTTCCTTTAAACTATACTTGAAATTCCTCTCCTGTTTTATGTCTTCAGCAAACTTGGTACTTATATAGGATATTTTACGACAAATGTGGTTTTGACAATTCAATGAATACGTTTCTCAGAAATCAATTTTCCGAAAATTCAATGAATGTTTATTCCAAGTGATAGTCTGCTAAAGGACCCCATTAAGATTGACCCGCCGGATAAATAATCATGGGACAAAACCTTTACCGTGTGTCTAGTCCAGTCTTATTTTTGGGTCATTAGTCCAGTCTGGTTTGATCAATGGCCTAGTTACTAGCTAGGCCTGTAACGGGCCGGCGTTGCCCATGATTTTGAGCCCATAGCCTATCTTTTGGCCAGCCTGCGGGCTTTGACTAGTCAACTGGCCGGGCTGGGTCTGCCCATGAAAAATATGAGGCCCATTGCCAGCCCATGAGTGGGCCTATTGGGCCAAAAGTGGGTTTAAAATGGGCTAAGCCTAATAGANCTGCGGGCTTTGACTAGTCAACTGGCCGGGCTGGGTCTGCCCATGAAAAATATGAGGCCCATAGCCAGCCCATGAGTGGGCCTATTGGGCCAAAAGTGGGTTTAAAATGGGCTAAGCCTAATAGACCACTATTTGGGCCTACAATGGGCTTTTGCTTAAAAAATATTTTTTTATCTAAAAATTACAAAAAGACATAAATTCATAAAGTTGGATATGAAAAATAATTAAAAAAAAATTATATTAATTAAATAAAACAAATATTTGTTAAGAGTCACAATGTTACATTGGTTGATGGGTGAAACAAATTTGTATCGGTACAAATTGAGTACATCCCAATTAGGTTGACACTTATACAATTATTAATCATTTATAAGTCTCAACCAANAATTGAGTACATCCCAATTAGGTTGACACTTATACAATTATTAATCATTTATAAGTCCCAACCCTTTAAAAGTTACAGATCAAATATCAAATAAGTAAAACAACTAAGAAATATAATTTAATTATCTTCTTCGGGTAATCAAATCTTCTCTTTGTAAGTTCATTTCCATTAGTGCTTGGGTATATTTTGCCGGGCTAATGAGTTTTTTAACGGACCAGTCCATCGAGTTTCTTAACGGGCCAGCCTGTTGAGCCCCCAGTGCAAAACAATAACCCAAGCCCTACTTGTCGGGCTATCCAAAGCCTACCAAGTGTACGGGGCAGGCGGTTCATTGAACTTTGGGCTTTTTGTTGAGGCCTACTACTAGCGTGGTAGTCCTAGGTTACACGATTGTGGTGAATTCGTTCGTGTGACATGCAATTGTATTTGGTTCAAAAAAACCTTGTAATTGTACTCGCTATTTCAGCAAAATGCCTAGACATAGTCCTCTGTTCCCTTGTTCTTGCAACCTATGAATTGTTTAACACAATAAAGCAATCCAAATGAGGCCAGTAACTCTATCACCTGTGTAACATATTACTGACCAATTCAACACATCCTAGTAATTAAGCTCTGGTTTTACTTGCTTATATTCCCAGTTGTCCCATTTCAGAGGCATGCTCCAAAACTAACTAGCGAGAATGCAGCCTAAATGGCCACCTTTCATGTTGTGCATGACTCTCTCTCTCTCTCTCACACACACACATACACACATATCGAGTTGAGTAACTAACTCTACCATTGTCTGGGTAAAGAAATGAGGTTGGTGGTAGAAATATTGACAGGAAAACTCTTCTACATTCAACTGGGCGACGATGCCACGGTTGAAGACCTAAAGAGAGAGATTGGAGCACAAGAAAAGCTCCCTCGTGATCGTCTCATTCTGATCCTCAATGGTGAGCTGAGCCACTTGATGAACGACAATGAACTCTCTCTGCTCGATTATGGAGTCCAAGATGGCTCCCATGTCTATCTCTTTTTTGATCCTCTTGATGATTGTTCCTTCCATCATTTCCTGCTAAAATCTCAGGACCCCACTTCCTCTCAGGCCGATCAATCACCACTCATCGGTCCCTCTCATCAACTTACTGAATGAATAGAGATATGCAATGTTTCTTGATTTCTTTATTGCTTGCTTGCGTATTGTGTGCCAGTTATATAATAGTCAATCTCTTCCTTCTCTATGTGATGAATTTTGTACCTTTATCTTCTTTGTGCAAGTTATGTTTGCATGTAAATGGCTCGATAAGAACTTATAGTAGAATATATTTCAAAAGCCGTATGTAAGTAGTGAAAAGTAGACAATATTGTATATGCGGACATGAGGCATCACAAAAAGTACAAGAACCAAACTCTAGTGGATGTCACATAGTATGTGACGGCTCGGCCTAAACCAGACCTAGATCAAAGATGCAAATTAAGTCAAACTCAAATATATAGGTCAAGTTCGCCACAAGATCAAGAAATTTTAGTTGGGCCAAGTCCATCACAAGATTAAAGAATTTTAGTTGTATCAAAATTTTTTAGAGATCCAGCTCATTATTAGTGTGAATGAGATCACCCCACTATTACCTCGCTTATTACAAGAGTAAGATGAGTTTCACGAAATCATCTCGCTCCTTGGTACGAGGATGGCACCTCAGTCAAAGTTCTTCAGAGCCAATTTTACCCACTTATAAATTGTAAGTTCCATCTTCACATAAGGGGCACCACACACATCTTATCACACTATATCTGTTGAGTAATANCATCAACTTACTGAATGAATAGAGATATGCAATGTTTCTTGATTTCTTTATTGCTTGCTTGCGTATTGTGTGCCAGTTATATAATAGTCAATCTCTTCCTTCTCTATGTGATGAATTTTGTACCTTTATCTTCTTTGTGCAAGTTATGTTTGCATGTAAATGGCTCGATAAGAACTTATAGTAGAATATATTTCAAAAGCCGTATGTAAGTAGTGAAAAGTAGACAATATTGTATATGCGGACATGAGGCATCACAAAAAGTACAAGAACCAAACTCTAGTGGATGTCACATAGTATGTGACGGCTCGGCCTAAACCAGACCTAGATCAAAGATGCAAATTAAGTCAAACTCAAATATATAGGTCAAGTCCGCCACAAGATCAAGAAATTTTAGTTGGGCCAAGTCCATCACAAGATTAAAGAATTTTAGTTGTATCAAAATTTTTTAGAGATCCAACTCATTATTAGTGTGAATGAGATCACCCCGCTATTACCTCGCTTATTACAAGAGTAAGATGAGTTTCACGAAATCATCTAGCTCCTTGGTACGAGGATGGCACCTCAGTCAAAGTTCTTCAGAGCCAATTTTACCCACTTATAAATTGTAAGTTCCATCTTCACATAAGGGGCACCACACACATCTTATCACACTATATCTGTTGAGTAATAAGANCATCAACTTACTGAATGAATAGAGATATGCAATGTTTCTTGATTTCTTTATTGCTTGCTTGCGTATTGTGTGCCAGTTATATAATAGTCAATCTCTTCCTTCTCTATGTGATGAATTTTGTACCTTTATCTTCTTTGTGCAAGTTATGTTTGCATGTAAATGGCTCGATAAGAACTTATAGTAGAATATATTTCAAAAGCCGTATGTAAGTAGTGAAAAGTAGACAATATTGTATATGCGGACATGAGGCATCACAAAAAGTACAAGAACCAAACTCTAGTGGATGTCACATAGTATGTGACGGCTCGGCCTAAACCAGACCTAGATCAAAGATGCAAATTAAGTCAAACTCAAATATATAGGTCAAGTCCGCCACAAGATCAAGAAATTTTAGTTGGGCCAAGTCCATCACAAGATTAAAGAATTTTAGTTGTATCAAAATTTTTTAGAGATCCAACTCATTATTAGTGTGAATGAGATCACCCCGCTATTACCTCGCTTATTACAAGAGTAAGATGAGTTTCACGAAATCATCTAGCTCCTTGGTACGAGGATGGCACCTCAGTCAAAGTTCTTCAGAGCCAATTTTACCCACTTATAAATTGTAAGTTCCATCTTCACATAAGGGGCACCACACACATCTTATCACACTATATCTGTTGAGTAATAAGATTCTCTTGCCATCGTAAAAGTCAATTGTGGTGGTTCAGTCTCACGTCTCTGTTCATAAGTTTGAGTTTTATGTTTTCATTGTGCAAGTACAATGTATTTTAAAATAGTGCAAACTAAACCGAAAATGAATAATATTACTATACAATAAAAGTCTGAGAAATCACAACCCATGGACATGTAGTTTAAGCTATGTTCAGTTTTCCATGCAGATTTCTTGTTTTGACGCATGGGTGCAATGTTGGATGCAAATTTCAGTTGCACACTAAGCAGAAAACTTTC